GAATTCACAACTAAGCTACTAAATAGTTACTAGTTATCTTCATTACTTCATGGTTATCATATGCATAACCAGAAACAGTCCTTGGAAATTATACGAGGTTACTGCATGTCGCAATTGATAATCTAGTTCTTACAGTCCTCATGTGTACTATTGTAAGGGCAGAAGAAACTATCTTCAAGCTGCGTGAATTCTTTATCAAAACCTAAATGGATAGCATGCTCTTCTAGTTGATCATTAGACATCATGTGTATAAGGCTGAGAAGTTTTACCTTGCTTTCATGTTCATCAACTCCATACAATAGGTTAACTGATCCAAATGGAATTCCTGCAAAATATGATGCAATAGACTGTCATTAAATAGCCAACACTGGCATACCCCAAAAAGTGCTTTTCATCTAAGTTTAACGGAAGTAGTGGCTTGGAAAATCTGCTTTGTTTCTTGAATAATGAAACCCAAAAAACATCAGATTTAGAGTAAAATGCCCTACAACCCCATTCCATATTCTACCATAGCAAACTTAAGCCTATAGGTAATTAATGTATCAGAAAATAAAAGTGAAAAGCATGCGCTAAGGTAGAACTAGAAGTGCCAAAAATGATGATTCAGTCAAGATTAGACGAGCACAAGTGATTTTCCTATGCCTAGATAATTTGAAATCATTAAGTTTAGTACAAGGAGAAGGGGGGAAATTTTTATCAAGTTTCAGTATGGAAAATTTGCAAAAGAGACTCTCTTCATGTGAGCATAACACTACACTACAACAGAATAGTTCAGCAGCCAACCTGTAGGAGTGTCAAATGCAGGCAGTAATCTTCGAGCCAGATCCTCTGCTAAGTCAAGCAGTTGATTCTCATAGGATGCAACTTTCATACCCTATAGGGAGGGAATGAGTCAATCAGAAAACGTAGGTTGTACTACAAACAATGGATAAACTAGCTATAACAAATATTGCACTGCATTAGGCATACAAAATTTGAGAATATACTATCATCAGCATGGCGGAGAAAAGTTGACTAACAAAACTTTTGTGAAGAATTTGGTCTGTAATGTTCTAATTCTGTTGCTATACAAACAGTTAACCCAACAACAGGACCTCACAGGCTCACTGCATATCAAACAAGCAGAATTGACCTCACCAAGAGTGGCATGTAAATATTTAGCTATTGACTGTCCCGCATAAAAAATAATTCTCATATCTTATGGCTATTAGAAGCAATTTCAAAAAACATATTTTGTTTTCTAGAACAAAAATTTGGTGAAAAAAGTTTGTTTAACTGTTTATTAAAAGTTGTTAACAACAAGTTTCCTTTAATCTGTTCTCATGGGTGACTAGTTTTCCAATACAAATATATATCTTCTTCCTATGAAAATCATGTACTTGTGAGTAATGATTTTTCAAGTACACAATAACCGTAACATTTACAGACCACAACACCATTCTTCTTACAAAGTCTTATTTTCAGGAGAAAAAAATTTCAAAAAAACAGTTCAGAGGCTTGCCCTCAGTCTGTGATTTACCTTAGTCAACGTGTTTGTCACTTCTCAATCCGGTGTCTCAACTTTGTTGAGACTTCAGAAATGACTTTTGAATAATACTTTCACAATCATAGGTACACTATTCATGAAAATAAGATTATAATTGACTATGAATATAGAACCTCGATTTTGTCAATTTCATCATGATTTTAATTGAAAGACAACACAGATAAAATAAAAAAAGTCAATACCGTAGTGTGGTCACTTGCAATAAGATGAGCTGAAAGTAAACCTCCAAGAACTCGAATTGTCGTCTCAAAGATAGATACTGTTTTATTCTGTAATTACAACAGAAAGGTTCTAGTTGAAGAAATATATAACTACAGAATTACAATGGTACAAAACTGAAATGATCTTCTAATTGAGTAATACATAAAATGTTACAAAAACATAATATAATACCCCATCACTTAGAAACTATTAAGTAGCCAATGCTATTATAGTCATCAATCAGGAAATCATAAAATGATCGTAAAATTTGTTAGTAAATACACAAGTGGCAACTCGTAGTGGCTGGTTATCCTCCAACTGTCTTTCAAGAAACAAACAAAGCCTATGCCATAAGGGATCCCTCTTTTACAAGAACTTTTGTTGAGTTTCCTTTTAGTCACCAACCACTTGCATCTCTCTCAACTGTTTTAAGTTGGAACACCAGAATTTTGACATGGGTAGCTATCTGATACTAAGATGGTATAGTCTCTATCGGAAATTACATCCAAAAGGAAACTAATTCAAATAACTAAAGTTGAGGTCATGGACTAAGACTCGAAGACCAAAAGATCTCGGTTCTATAAAACCACATGCTGAAGAAGTTCCTCAACATGTAAATTCACCACATAACTGAAGGTGAAAGAAAGAGAAATTTTTAATTTTTAATTTTTAATATCTAATATCTAATAAGATAAAAATATAATATATATATATATTCAGATAATGGTCCGTGTCAAAAATAATTAGACGGATTTGAAGCCTAAATAGCTAATCACGAAAGCAACCCCCACAAAAATGTACATTACTCACTATATCGAACCGAAGATTTTTACCAATCCATTCAACAGATGCAGCAAATTGTTCCCGATCACCAAGCAGGGCCAGTGTATCCAATGAATCAATCTATGACAACAAAATGAGGGAAACAGCATCATCATTGTTCCAATATGATATCACTAAATCAGTTAACCTATTATTTAGATGTATGACATTTAACAGAAGGAATTAGCTTACCAAAGTCAAAGCATAACCACCAAGTGAATCTTCTCCTTCACACGATAGTGGTCTTAATTCGTCTAGAGGAAAAGCATGCTTCATGTATCCATTGAAAGCATGATAAAACATTTCACGTACCTACATGGCGAGTATACCTTGCTTATAACAATCTAAAATAAATTAAAAGTAGCGAAATAGAGGCAGATCATAAACAAACGAAACCAGAACAGAATATTTCAAGTAATCAAATAATTACATGATATCACTAATTCCAGATCCCGCATCCCTATCCTTCTTGTAAGAAGTTTGATCCTCCAATGCTAATTTAACAAGAATGCGTAAAAATATAAACTCAATCAAGATGACCCGTATAACAAAATATTGTTTAGAGAAAATGGCGGCAGTTCAAACGTATATTGGAGATTTATTATAAGAACAAATTCTTTCAGATATCCTAAGATTACTGATCCCGAAAAGTGAATTAAATTAGAAAAAAAAAAAGTTCAGCATTTCAATAACCAAGCAATGTAGCCCACCTGACGAGCTTACCAAATGAGAGATTGAGAATAGCTATGGCTTAAACGGAGCCGAAATTGAGGAAAGATTAATTGGTTGAGAGTCCTTAATTAATTCTGCTACGCAATTGATAGAGGAAAAAAGGGGAAGTAATACCAACCTCATCTCTGAGCTGTTTGGCTTCGTCGGGAGTGACGCCATCAGCTAGAGATTTTTGAATGAAAATGGGAGATGAAACTGAGAGTAAAAGAAAGATATAGAAGATAGGGAGCCGAGTTGAAGGAGCTTCCATTACAGTCTCTCGGCGTGGTTTTTCCTTCCGGTGCTGAGACGCCCTGAAAATCACTGTACTTCTTCTTCTTCTTCTTTTTCTTCTGTTTTTTATTATTATTATTATTATTTATTTATTTTCTTAATTTAAATGCCTTTTCTCTGCTCCAAAATCTCAAATCTCGAGAGGATATTTGATACACCAACCCGTCTTAATAAATATTTAACAGTTTCATTATAACTATTTAGTTTTTTTTATTTTAAAAATTCATGTTTTCTCATTATATCGTCATTTTTCTCACTAATTTTATATTTCTTAACTAATAATATTGGTTAGGAAGCTCTAATTTTTTTTAGTTTTTAAACATAAAATTAAGTTAGATATGGACGGATAAATCTTTTAGATTTTGGATCAATTTGATTCGAGAGTAATATGAATAAAGTTCACAACTTAATCCTCTATTTTTTGGTTGGGTAGCCTTGAATGGATAATATTTTTATTTTAAAAAAATTATATTTATTTACTATACATATTACAACTAAAATCTCTTAAACATTCATAAGTAATAATGCATTACTAATATTGGCTATCCAGTTCAAATAGGATTATACTCTATTTTTTGATTGGATTGTTCATTAATTACTTTAAAATATTATTGAATATGTCAATAACCAATTAGGTATAAATTGAAATTTCCATCATATATTAGCATTTTCAAATTCAAATATTGATCAAGACAAAAAAAAATTGAAATTGTGATATTTTAGACAAATATTTAAGAGGAAAATATTAATATTAGTATAATCAAAATTTGACTTAAAATATAGAAAAAGAACAAAAAGAAAAGTTGAAAGAGTGTGTTAAATTTCTTTTCTATGGTACAAATTCCATTTATAAACAAAACAAACTATTCTTTTTGATGTAGTGAAAATGTATTCACCAAAAAAAAAAAAAAAAAAAAAAAAAAAAAAAATGAAGGAATATTATTATGATAGAAATGGATAGGGCCAATGTTTTTTTTTTTTTCTTTTTTTCTTTGATTTTTCAATCGGAAAAAGATGCTTATGCCTTTATAACGGAGATGCTTAAATTGGCATATAGTATCACAATACATACCTACGTTTAAGATTGATCGTACAACACTTACTCTCACCCATGAGTAAGTCAACTAACTTAATTTCGAGTGACTTGTGACATGAGTATGCATCCACCTCGTTCTTGTAAAAAGGTTTTAGAAAATGAGATTAGGAATAAAAAAAAAAAAAATTGAGAAAACAGTATTATACTAGCAAACAATAGGTAACAACAACATTCATTCATAGCACATAACTCGAGTAAATAAAATTGAGAATTAGGTGTATCTCCCTACCATGACATATAGCACCAACATCACCAAAAGGAGAAGTTACATAATAAAAATGAAGTTAAATTTAATTAGGAGTACACGAGTAAAAGTGGGCTAACTCAAGAGAAGAAAACAGCGTAGTGAATGAGTTGGTTTTGGTAACATAACTCAATTGTTGGGAATGGATCATAGGGGAATGAGCAATGTAACTATTCATTCCCGAAGAACAAGTAATTTAAGTGGACTAGTTTCAAGAGGCCACACAAGAAGCAGCAGCACGGAACTACATAAGATTCAGGTCCCACTACAAGTTGCAACCGTATAGAAAACAAAGAAACAACACAAAAAGAACCATAATAAAAGATCACATATCATTTCAGAACTAAAGGAAATGATTTTCCCAACTCCTCCTAGTATATATATATATATATATATAGTGCAAGCAAGCAAACCTCCAAACTGGTAGAGAGCAGACTTAGATACATCCATGGTTGGGTTAAAATTTCACAAATCGCTTCAGAAGTCAGGTTATAGGGAGCCGACGCCTATCTATCATGCCTGAAAAAAGGGGTTTAGACAATGAGTAGAAAGTACTTCCGCAATGAATAATTCAAGTGTGAGAGAGGCTTTAAGCCACCAACTTAAACGAAATTTGATGGAGAAATGATGAGAAAACTAGCACAATTTTGGTTAAATTTTTATCAAGCTATCCCTTAATTATAAATTTAAAGTAAATCCAACTACAGATAGATAGCACAGGAAAGGATGAAGAATACCTGCTGCTTTTTCTTTTTAGGCCTTCTCTTTCTTCGGGGTTTGTGAGCATCAGAATTGGAACTTATATTACTGCTGTGACCTGTCTGAGAGTTTGAGGAACCCCTAACCTTAAAAGAAGATCCACTTCTGCTACTTGATGTATTGCTGGATGAAGAAACCTCGGCCCTACGATTTGTCGAAAATTTTCTTAATGAAGACCCTGGTTTTGACCGAGCTTGGGCTGAGCTTGGAAATGATTTGGTTGGACGGGGAGGTGGCATTAAGGCTCTGGCAGAGATCTGCTGCCTCTACATAAAATGCTAGTCAAATGAGAGAAGGATGGAAACAGACGTTGGGGGCATGAGATACAAAGATTACATCCTATTACAAGACAACAGAAATCATAACTAAACCTGATGATTTCTTTCATCGCTAGACATGCCTGATGCTGCCTTGCCAGAAGTACTAGAAGCATGTTCCCTGCAAAGAATAGAATAAACATTTAATATACCCAAACTCTTGCAAAAGCAAAACATGAACAAACCGGAAGAAGAATGAGAATTCAAAGCCTACATACCTTGCACTTTTATCTGTCCATTCATCATCTGCATCTGCTTCATCACTTGAGCTACCAGATACGAAGAAATCATCCTCACTCATGTCAAGTAACCCATCATCCTCACTACCTGTCTCTGTTTGAATCAATTCCACACCATTAAAAAGCATATATTATGATCTTACCAAAACAATTTTAAATTAACAAATTTATTGAATTAAAAAAAACATAAGAAAAAGTACCATTTCCATGTAGGAAATAATTTTTCATTAAATGAAAGAAAGTTATTAAAATGAAAAATGATGTGTGTATATATATATATGTTGGCCAGTAGCTTCCTAGTGCATAAAAACACCTGTAGAGCAACCAGAATCGGCCATATACCAATATTCTAAGAAGAAACCCAACTACAAGGCAAAAAATATATACATAAGAACAAAAATATGAAAAAGAACATTAGAAGAAATGGAAAAGAAACCACCTTCTAAATCCTTTCCACTGGCTGCAGCAGCAATTAGATTGGCTTTTATCTGCTTGCGCAACTTATTCCTCCTATCAACCGTGTCCGAATCATCACTTCCAGTAAATAAAGCTAAATATTTTTCTGTTTTGGGAAAGAACTACATTCGAACAAAAAAAAAAAAAAACTTTCACATCTCCCATTATAAAGAATAGCGAAAAAACTAAGTATTATACTTGCCATTACAAATGTCGTAACAGCTGTCAGTTCTTATAGGGGTAAGTGGTGAACAAAAAAGCACAAGCAAAGCTAAATCTACAATGCATACCTCCTCTAACACAAATATTCAGCATTGTCTAACAACTTTTATTTTCATCAGAAAAATGAAAAATAGTAAATATATGCAATGATAGTACCTTAGAACACAATGATAGTGAAAACTAAGACATAACGATGCAACAAGTTTAGATGAACTCCCATGTATTGAAGTATTAAATAAACGCATACATAAAAACAAGTATACATACAAAATATACAAAAAAACAAAAAAACAAAAAAATCATCAAAAAACAACTTCCTTTGATGAATGAATATAAATAAAAAGTTCAAAGATACAAACTCGCACATATATTTTTAGGAAAAGATTTTTTGACATTACCCTGACATATTCAAGATCCTCCTTCAACTTAGACAATTGATCTGCAATATCCGAATCTTGCGACTGACCAGATGGAGCACGTTGCAGTTTTTCAAGGCGTCTAATTCTTCTTTCAATTTTTCTCCTCTCTGGATTAAGGAAAAAAATAATCAAAAACTGATACGTGCTTGAAAAACAAACCCCATCAAATGACAGAAAAACTATTACCAAGTATTACCAAAAAATTTGATCTTCCTATCCCGCAAGAATATTTTGCGCTCAACAGCCAGACGAGAATGAATTTCTTGCTGTTTTCTAAGTCCTTCCAACTTCTTCTCTTGAACCTCCCTCACTTCAGCTGGCAAATTCTGGAGGGAAAAAAACGTTCAATGACCATGGAGTAAAAATCGGCAACAACCACACTGTAAACTACGGGGTATAATATTAAGTCCGTAATCCGATAAAGACTAAGCAACCTCTCGAAAAACCACACCCACATAGAAAACGTAATGGAAACCACACTTTAGCTCTCCTAATTTTCACAAAACCTTGCAGCACATTCTTCACCTCCATAATTGAGGTTCGTAATAAGGGCACGCTAACCTAATAAAGCGTTTCAATAGAGTTCCAGGAATCTAGTTCCATACATAAAAAGGATGTCCTCAGAATCAAGTGTTACTTGATCGTAGAGACCTCCGAAGAAAAAGCACAGCAACTCAACTTCCCAAACAAAACTTACAGCAGCCAAAAACAAAGAGAAGGAGCAACAAATGCAACAAATTAGTCTCTTCTCCAAACTCCCTGAATAGCGAACTAAAATCAGTTAAACAAACTCCAAGCCCTAAAACGACCTAGAACAGCATACAAAAAAGCAAAATAAGGAAAGAGTAGGCGGAAACCTTGCGAAGCATGCGCTCAGCGGATCGAATCTGGTTCTTGAGGGAGACGGACTTGGGCTTCTTCTCAACAGCTAAAGCCTTCGATCGGCGCGCTGCCGGGTTCACCCTGCGCTTGCCGTAGCCACCGTGGGCCATGGTTGCCCTAGACACAGATGAGAGAGAAAGGAGAAAGTGGTATGCAGGAAAGCAAGGGTTTTGTGCAGGCTCTCAACGCCACCCCGGTGGATTCATAACACCGGAGAGGTGGACAGTGGAGACGGATATCTTTCACTCTTCCTAACTCGTCTTTTCCTTTTTTTTCTTTTGGATTTCTAGACGACCTTCTTAATTTTAATTTATGCAAAAGCCCTAATCAGCGCCTTTTTTTATTTTTCCTACCAAAAGTAATTCTTCTTAATTTCCAAAATTTATAAGGAAAAAAAAATAATATCACCTTAAATTTCAAATTAATAATAATTAGTATTTATCAATACAAATATCAAAATCAAAACATTAAATAATAAAACAAAAATCATTATCTAAAAATTCAAATAAATATTTTTTCATGAATCTTAAATTTTTATAAACTTTAAGATGTAAATTCAATATAGTTTTTCTCCCTGAGGGATCTCGACTCAATAATTAGGGTGGCTAATCTTCCATTTATCTTCTATTGGTTTGATTTTAAGTCGACTAATAAATACAATTAAAAAAAAAACTATATGGTTGAGAACCAATGGCAAGAGATTTATTATACCAAACGCAAGAGACAATTAATCTTAAAAATGATCGATCATTATGGAAAATTGAGTACAAGAATACTAAGCTTTTAATTCATGAAAACACGTTATTTGGAAGTATATATTAAAGTCAATAACACGATAAAGATACTTTTAAAAACAAGGACTTTATTCTATGTCACGATTCAACCGAAAGAATATGTTTTTCCAACGAATTATACACTATGATTTAATCTATAAAACAAATAGTCTATATAGTATTTTGACAATTGTGTGTGTGTGACTTTCTATTCTATACTTCAAGAAGGAAAACAAAAACAATGTTCCATTGTATAATATAAGAACTAAACACTACAAATAGAGATGGAAGAGGATTTTTTTCATTCGCGCTCGGATATAACAATTAACGAATCAGTTAATTCAAGAGAGATTGGTTCAGACTTAGGAATTGGATTGATTACCTGCATTAATCACAAGAATGATGCATCAGTTTCGTATACTACATTTCTTTACAAGATTCAGCTAGTGTTATTACCTGTCTATTATTTTTAATATAGCCAATGGCTACTTCTTGCTTTAGATGTGCTCTTTCAGCAAGTTCTGCAAATGAGAGATCCTCCCCTTGTTTCATGTAGCCACTGATATCCTGTGTCAAGAAAAGGATCAATTAGTGCAAGAATCATACTTTCAAGCTCGTTATTTTATTTCAATGTTTACTGTAACAGCCCAAGCCCACCACTAACAAATACTATCCTCTTTGGGTTTTCCTTTATGGGCTTCCTCTCAAGACTTTAAAACGCGCATGTTAGACAGAGGTTTCCACACCTTTATAAAAAATATTTTGTTCCCCTCTCCAACCAATGTGAGATCTCACAATCTACCCCCCTAAGGACCCAACGTCCTCGATAGCATACAGCCCAGTGATTGGCTCTGATACAATTTGTAACGGTTCAACCTCACTGCTAGCAAATATTGTCCTATTTAGGCTTTCCCTTCCAGACTTCCCCACAAGGTTTTAAAATGAGTCTTGAGAGAAGTTTCCACGCCCTTATAAGAAATGTTTTGTTCCCCTCTCCAATCTTACATCTTAGATAGCTATCAAAAGCTAATATGGATGAAGAAATGGAGATGTACCTTCACATAAATTTCATCACCTTCGGCATTCAAAATATCTTTCCATACTTGATTCAGTTCACTATCCTCTGCCACTGTCACGCCAAAATATACACTTGAGATGCAGTTTCGCACACAAAATCTGAAAGAGGTTGGTTCAGAGCATTTACAGACCTTGAGCTGTGACAAGACTCATTATTTCCTCTGCTGCTATGTACGTCAGGGAAGGTTTTATTCTTGTTACCTGCACACATTTCCGCAGCTACATCAATATTTAAATATAATAAAAAAAGCGGCACAAGAAATTGGAAAATGAAGCATTTACTTGTTTCCCCAATTTGGAGTCAACAATCTCTGCAGCAAGATTTTGAACCTGAAATAAAGTGTCATATTATAGACCTTACTTTTGTCCAAAAAATAAGCAAAAAACCACTATGATATAATATGATCAAACTTTCCATAAATGTATGAATGTCAAAGGATTGATGTAAAAGATTCGTGAAGGTATTGTGCTATAGATCATATTACTAATAAACAACAAATTAAATACCTTCACTCCATGTTTCTGACAGATACTTTCAGCAAGGAGAAGAGTATATACTGAGTGTTTGTCAGACCTAGATGGATCTGAAAAGTTGGAAGTCAATGCAATTCATTATCATTATACAAGCCAAAAAAAAAGGGCATATAAGATAGTATTATATCCATACCCCCAAGAAGCCATTCCCTGTCGGATATCACAGCGATGGACAACGGAACATCTTCACTTTTATTGAAAGAACTTTTAATATTTAGTAGGGTTTCCTCTAAGCTAGCATAGTTCATAGGGTTTCCTATCTGCAGCAAAGGTACAAAATTATGGAATGTGGCTTAGAGAAAGAATTAAAATGTTTCAAAAAACTACATTCAATGTGTCAGTACCCTATGAGAAACTCTGACATTTTTTAACTTGTTACGGTCCACAGCTTTGTAAGCTCTTTTTCTTTCATCAAATGGTGCATCTGATAAGATTTCCTGCATATATATGGGAGATGACAATTAGGGTCCAATAATCGCATGTATGCCAATTGTTGCATATAACCAAAATTACAAATGTATAGAACTGTTTTTGTGCTCAAAAGTGATTAATTTGTATTGCCAAACGCACTAGATATTTTTTAAACAATGTTTTTGCGCTCCATAATCACTTAAGAAGTTAATTCATACACACCCAGTTTCATTAAAAGTGATTTAGAGGACTCGAGGTGTTGCAAAAAGATTTGGAGTCGAGCAAACTTGAAGAAGATTCATAAAGGGAAGAGCTTTACCAATACACTACCAGGTCCAAGATACTTGTCATATTCTTGGATCATGTCTACAACATCTGGGCGCCAACCTAGCAAAAGTATGCATTCTTTTGGTCCTATAGTCTTGTCTAAAGGCTGCATGCAATGTAACAATTAGCTATCTTGCTTACTGACTTGTTGAAAAAAACAAATCACTTAGGCCCCGTTTGATAATTATGGTTATTGGTTTTTGAAAATTTAGCTTACAAAGGTTTTCTTAACTTCGTTATCTATTTTCTGAAAATGGTTTCAAAATCTAAACAAAGTTTAGAAAACTAAAAAAAGTAGTTTTGAAAAAGTTGTTTTTGTTTCTGAAATTTGGCTAAGAATATAAAAGTTTCATTGTGATAGGTGAAAACTCAGTAAGGAAATTGCAAGGAAAGAAGCACAATTTTAAAAAATAGAAAACTAAAAGTAAAATTATTATCAAACTAGAGCTTCAATATTACCTTGAAAGAGGGTTTTGTTGGATGTTTGATGATATTCTCGAATTCCTTTCTATATATTTCTAGAGATTGACGTAAACGTACATTACTATTTTTAATACTTTCCAGCTTTTTAATGGTATTACTTCCTTCCTTAGTCACATTTGAATGACCACCTCCTCCCTTATGTCCTCCAAGGAGAGGTGCAATGAACAGCCCCTACATCAAAAGATACACGAATTCACTTAGAAAATCTGTTAAACCAAGTTGTTTCTTTTCTATAAAAAAAAAAAAAAAAAGAAGAGAGATATGAATCTATTATTTATACCTTGTCATTTTGCTGCAGAATCTCATCATCATTTGGATGAAAGTGTATCTTCCCATTTCTATAGATACCACAAACAACTGCCTGTAGAAAAGAAATATCCATTCAAAAAAACTGAAAGGGAATTAGGAGAAAAAATTTATTTGATGGATAAGTACCTCATGAAATCCTTGGCGAAGTTCTTTATAATGTAGACCAACAAAATTAGGGGAGCTGAATAGATTAAATACGTTTTCTGCAATTTCATTCTTTATAATGTAGACCAACAAAATTAGGGGAGCTGAATAGATTAAATACGTTTTCTGCAATTTCACAGCATTACAAATTTGAGTAAACTGAAAACCACATTCTATGCAATTGGGAGAACTATAAATGTGTTACATACTTCGATAGTTCAACAAGTGTCTGTAAATTTTGATGAGCTCCTTTTGTCGAGAACACTGGACAAATAATTTAGAGGAAACATTCTCCACCGGCTCTACTTTCAGTCCTGTGACCGACTTTAAGAGGTCACAGGTATTGGAACTAAACATTCTCCACCGGCTCTACTTTCAGTCCTGTGACCGACTTTAAGAGGTCACAGGTATTGGAACTAGAAACCTGAATTCATTGAGAAAAGGTTCAAATTCAGCCATTCAAAGTTGTCATTTGACAAGACTGACAACTTGTTATTTATTGGTAGCTTACCTCAACAATAGTTGGGATGGACTCCATATTTGCAATGGGTTGAAGGGCAAGAACAGAGAGAAATGCATCTGTATCAACTTCATACCTAATAAATTTGTGTCCAATATGCTTTAGTTAATCCATATTTCCATTCCAAGATTGGTTTCTCCTATTTGAAACGAAAATAAGTAATCCTACATCCTATAGCGGTCAATGTCTCAGTTTCAACTACATTTTAGCTAGCTGAATGAGTGCCGAAAGCACTCTTTAGCAGGACCCAGCGTCACAGTTTCAACTACATTTTAGCTAGCTGAATGAGTGCCGAAAGCACTCTTTAGCAGGACCCAGCGTCACTATAAAATATCCGAGACCACATTAATCTTCAATTGGTTGCAAAAATAGCCTTTCTTTTAAATGCATCCAGGATAACTATTCAATAAGGGTTTCTTAAAAGTTATAACAACGACTGCTTCCTTTATCACCACAATTGTAAGACCAAGGATAATCCATCTCAATATCCAATGGAGGACTGTGGAAGGAACAGAGAGAAGTTATCAGCTTTGTCTATCACATAAAAGAAAATAGGAACCATGGAAATACTGGAATAAATTAAAATGTTAAAGGCACCAAGAAATGAATCCACCCACCCACTTAAAAGGACAAGTTTACTCTCATACGCTTTGGAAATGCTAAAATACGTGTCTTTTATCTCTTTCAAAACAAGGTCCATTGTATAAACTTTGACTTCTC